TTTTACGTCACGACAGTTTCCAATTGGAATTTTTTGTTAATGTAATCTCACTGAAATCTGTCACACTCAACAGTTTGTACTGGGTGTGAAAGAACAAATTCAATAACTGTTTATATATGAAGGTAATCTGAGAGAAGGTCATTTACAACTATCATTTTATAAACTTTAGCCAATGACATATCCTTATATCAGTATCTGACAGCAACAAATTTTTAAACCCATTCCACTCCATCAGAAATTGTGTTTTTAAAATTACAATATTAATAATTAAGTGTTGGTTTATTGGAAACTTTTGTGTGTATAAAGCAGAGAATATACAATGCCAAGGTGATGTCTGTCAAGATGGACTTTTCTTTTGTGTAGTCGGAGCAACAAGAGATTGCACTCGGTCGGTACTAACTGTCTCATTTTAGGAGAGATAGGTGACATTGAGGTTGCCACCCATTATTGGGTTAGGTGGAAACCCCATTTAAAATATAAACAAAATTATATCTTAATTGAAAAAATATTACATAAAATTATTTTTAATATATATTATGTTTACTTATAATGATAAAATGCTTAAACAACACCTTAAATACTTTTTTCGGCAACACTTCAATTTGTTTAAACATTTTGACTCTTTTCACAGGTCTGCATCATGTTTAACAAGAAAATTTGCTCTATTTAAGAAGACAGTTCAAATCTTTTTGTTAAACCTAACGCAGACCTGTGTAAAGGGGTGAAAACGTTCTTTTATAGAAATTAAAGTGTTTCTGAAAAAGTATTTAAGGTGTTGTTCAAGCTAAATTAATTTCAGTCTATATAGAAGCGTAATTTTAAGGATAAAATGATTTTTCCATTATAACTACCGTCGACCCCCCTATAACACTGTTGATTTTTCCGTTTTATATGAATTCCATGTTGTACGATTCACTTAGATTTTACAAATACGTGTGCCTGGCTGTACGTGTACGGCTCACGTATTTGTAAAATGTAAGTGACTCGTACAACATGGAATTCATATAAAACAGAATAATCAACAGTGTTATAAGGGGGTCGACTGTATTAAAGTTTTTGTTATGATTCACAAATGATGCTGTAATACGTTAAATTTTCAAATGTGTTTCGTACGATTTGAAGTAAAAATAATTGTTTATGCTAAATTTACTGGCGTTTTGAGTTTTAAAAATTGATTTTTCAGATGAATCAGTCTAGGCATTTGTTTGGTTCTTCTTTTCCTCAAATAAGTACACACAATTGTACATTTAAGAAACCTGGCTCAAGCAAATGAATTCAAAACTTGGTTAACTTATGATGATGATATTTGTCTGGTTCATTGCATCATTTGACGAACCTCATTTAGTGTTACATACGATGGAATTACAGCATTTATGAGACATGTCGATTGTGAGAAGCATTAAAAGAGAAGTATGTCTTCTCATTATCTTGTCCTTCCCCTGGCCGTTTTTTTTTAAGCTGGGAATTAGCTGTGATTTGTTTGGTGGTAGTATTGCAATATTAACTTTCTCTGCAATAAGATTACAAATTTATTTTCTACTACACAATAAAAACATGTATATCTACATATAAAAGGAGAATTTTCGGATTTCTTTCAAAAGGTCTATTTATTTATTTATTTAACACATAATTGGAACTGTCAATGGACAAAAGATTTCCAACCCCAGAATAACACATTTATCCAAAAATACAATTAAAAATAACAAATAAAATTAAAAAAATAAAACACTTTTAAAAAGAAATAAACAAAATGATAAAAAGAAGTAAAGATCATACATTATGTAGAAAGCATTGGCATAAACATTTATATTTCGTAAATTATTGATAGAGGTGAAGTTCAATGGGCAACATATAATTAGTGGAGTGAAAAAAAAGGATCTACAACTTAATGCTAATTGATAAAAAGGGGTATGTAGACATGATTGTAAAATCTAGTTATTCTGGGGGGAACTTTCAACCTGAGCCAGTAATTGTTTATTACACCATTAAAACATTTATAGATTAAAATTCACTCAAAATACTTAACTCTTTCTTTGAAATTAGGTAGTCCCAGTCTGACTTTTGTGACGTCGGCATTATTAGTGTACGGAAGATGGCAGAATTTGTTTAAAAGGAAATATACTTTGTGTATTTCCTTAATAACTTCATTTAATAAAGAAGGGGCTGATATTGCCCAGACTTATAAGCAATAAATAAAATTTTATACTGAAAAATTTATTTTCTTAGCAGTTTATTTTTGAATTTCAAGTTAAGAAAACCAAGGTATGTATTATTAGGTTGTTCGGAAAGTAAGTTCGTTTTTTTTCGGTGGAAAAAAACACAATATTTTTATAATAAATAAATATTTTATTGAATTATTTATCAACCATTTTGGTCAAATACCTCTTGTCATCGTTTCTGATAGTAGCATGATTTTACATTCATAAAAGTTTTTATCATTGCTTACAAAAACTGATCCAAGTGATTTTTGACATTGTCATTTCAAGTAAATGTCTTACAGTTAAAAAAATTTGTATCGACCAGAACAAGTAATAACCTGAGTGTGCTTGATCTGGTGAATATGGTTGGTGTGATAGCACATCCCATCTAAGTTATAACAGTTTCTGACGAGTTACCAAACTTGTGTGAAATTTGACATTATCGTGGTAAAACACTACACCTGTTTTGTTGATCAATTCTGGCCGCCTTTTCTGTTTGATGATATTACTCAATTTGTTTACTCGATGGCAGTACACTTTTGAATCAATTGTTAAATTGTCTGGTAAAAGCCTTAAAAAAAAATTTCCTTAAAATCCCACCATGTTCTTAAAATCCACATGTTCTTAAAGAGAGCATCTCTCTTTAAGAACATGTGGAACCCATATATCGAGCTTTGAAACGAAACCAATTTGTTTCAAGTAATCATAAACAGTTCAGTTTGACAAATTTAATCTCTTAGTGATTTTACGTGTTGTTATTCGGCAGTTTGCTTCGGCTAGTTATTGGCAATACGCCTAAAAGAATTTAACAGATATATCCGTCCCTCATCACTGCCACACGATCGCCCTGGACGGATATATCTGTCCCTCACTGTTGAATGGTTAAACACATTCATTAACATCAAAGTTTGTTTAAACTAATGTGACCATAATAATAAATTAAAACACAGAAACAATAAATAAAATATGTAATACTGTATAATAAATGAAAATTGCATTTACTGTACGCACGCCATCAGCTTTGGCATCTTAAACATGGCCGCCAGATGCCACACGTGTATCACTTCCATGCTTTGTGATAAATTTCTTTTTCATCTCAATCGTTGATATTATAGCCTTCCACTTGTTAGACTTTGTTGAGCACATACACTCTTTGGATGCCATGGTTAATAAGTAAAGGTTATATTTATTGGGTTAAACAGAAAGTTTTAAAAGTATTTTAACAGGTCTTGTTACTTAATGTAAATGTATGATTTAATTTTAACAGTTGTGAAATTTAACATATTATTATTAATTTGTTATTATATTCATTGATTAGCAGCTTATTTCATGCTTTCAGTGTATTTTTTCACAGTTTGAACTCCAAAGCGAATTTTTGCCAAATTTAGCATTTGAACTCTGAAGCATTTGCAGTTAGAGTCGTTCGAAGTATAAGGTATCACTGTATTAAGATTAAAGTGTTGGCATCCATTATTTAGAATGCTACAATTACGAAACAGAATATTTATGAAAATCAATATAAATTGTGATATAACATTATTGAGAAGTGTCTACTTTTCAGAAGCATCTGTTAAAGAAACTAAATTTTAATTTGTACAGTTATAACCTCAAATCTATAAGCATCAGTTAAGAATTTTTCATTTGCTAAAGTGCAATATATTATTGATTACACCAGAAAATTATAATCGTAATATAATCTAAATTCAGGTGTCATACAGTGAAGTAAAATTTAACCAAATATTAATATGCTTAATCAAATTTCATTTCATTTCAATGTGTAATGCTTGAAGAAAGTTTATGTTACAAATGTTTTATTTATGTGTATTTTATTATTATTATTATTAATTATAAATGGTGGTCATAAAATCTCAGGTACAGTATATTCAAATTTTTATAGCCAGCTAGACAATTGAGTCAACAAAAGTGTGTAACTTTAATTTAAATTTAATCTGAGTGGGATTTCCGGAATTTTTCTTAGTCTAGTCTAGCTTGGAGATATCAGACTTTTCTCTTTGTAATCTGATTACTCCATTGTGAATTTAAGAGAAGAATTATGAAGAATAGGAGTAGGTACTTTTCCACTTTTCCATAGGCAATAGAATAGTTCAGTTCCACTGTTGATGGTGCATAATATGGGCATCCATGAAAAAGTTTTCGGGGGGACAAAGATTGGAACTTGGAGTCAATTACATCAATAAATTTTTATTTAATTATTTAATTTTTGGTGTTTTTTTACAAGTAGATTATAGAATAAAGTATTACAGCAATACAAAAAGACAGACAAAGCGTCCGATGGTCGAGGGTGTAAGATTACATATCTCAATCACTTTTACAATTATAATATATGGAAATTTTTACTTGATCTCAGGGAGGAGCAAGTGCCCTGTTTGCCCCATCTTGGATGCCCGTGGTGTGTAATATGATGAATTTTGAAAGATACCATTGTTTTGAATGCTGTTCTTCAATTACATTTTTAAATTATAAAATATTGCATGATATCAGAATCAAGTATTATGAAAAGGAAATAAAGTGAACAATATATTTATAAATAATATTTTCTTTGAAATGAAAAATTAAATTAATTTGAAAAAATTGTGCATTATTCTATTTAGCAATGACTCGGATTGACAACAACAACATTACCACATTAGAATTATACCTGACAGTGCTTTGTTTTTTGAACTGTAGATCTTTTGGTCATTTTTTTTAATTAATTGAATAATTATATGAAGAATTGTAAAATATTTTTAAACTTAATAAATAATAATAATAATAATAATAATATAATTTAAAATTCTTTAGGTCGATCATATGCAATAACATCGCAAAGAATGCTAATGCAATGTTTGGAATCTCTAGTTCAAAAAATACAAGGTGGAGTTGTTATTTTTTTCGAGAAAATTGGGCCCGATCCGCCTCCAATAAACAATGAAGGTATGTGTGATTAAAAATTTATTTTAATTTTATTTATTAGTGTTAAATTTTGCATTTGACAATACTAACAAAAAAAATTTACACACCTGAACCATTTACGGTGTGATCATGCAAAAGATCGGTAAACAAACGTTTTCGAACCCCCTCTGGGCTCTGCTTCAGGCTCGAATGTCTTTGTAGAAACTGAATGGAACCTGAATCAGAGCCCAGAAGGGGTTCGAAAACGTTTGTTTACCGATCTTTTGCATGATCACACCGTAAATGGTTCAGGTGTGTAAATTTTTTAGTAATTCCAGTGTGATAAGTAGTGAATTTTTTGTACTAACAAAAAAGTAGTAAAAATATCTAAATTTCCACAAGTACTCAGTTATGAAGCAGATGGTTTCTGGAAATGACCACATAAATTACAATGGAGAGTGCTCCAAAAAATTTCTTGCATCCATATAGGTACTAAAAGTCTTTATAAGAAATAGGTTAAAACATTAATGGCCATATTCACCAATGAAATTTCAAATAGAGAATTTTGTAATCCAAGATTTTGAGCTGGTAATATTAGATTAAGAGTTAGATTAGATAGTTTAATTTTTATATTCACCAACCATTAGATTGCAAAATTTTCATATTGAAGTGGAGTTTCATTACAAGCCCTCCAATTTGTCTATTGTATTACAACTTGTTTACACTGTCATGTGGAAACTAAGTATATGACTTCAAAGTTTAGTAAAGAGTATATTATAACAGTCAAAGAAACTATACTAAATTTGAGGTAGAGGAATTATATTTGAAATTAGTTCCAAAATATAAAAATGTATTAAAAAAATAAAAAACAAATGAAGTAATAAATATAGAGGCAAATATAAATAATGAATTTAGAGACAGATTGTAACAGTCACCCGTGTTATACAACAATGAAATAATGAACAATTAGATAGTAAAATCGCTTTATTGACTTCCAGCAGTGAGTGTTGAAGTTCAGGTATCAAAAATACATTTTCACAATGTGAATAGACTGTTCACATCTCTAAAATTAATACAAATTTCTTCTATATCAGCTTTATATAATTCTATCATTTCCAAGTGATGGAGATTGTTAGGATTTCTAGTAGGTCTGATTATTGCTGCATCTTCCCATACAACCTGTATGTCCTGCTGCCTGGTATAGTTTGCCAAGACTGTGCTATTTGAGTTCTTGATAATTGTATATTGATGTTCCTTGAGACTTGCTTCCAGGTTTTGCATGGTGGCACCCATGTATGTAAGCTTTCTTTGAAAATGCTGGTCCTCCAGTGGGATGGAGTAGATTCCCGGTGTGGCGGAACAGTTTTCTTTTGGTTTATAATTCTGAATATACTAAAAATTATAGGATTGTGTTTATAGGCTACTCTCACGTTGGTGTTCCTTCTTATGAAATTTTTTTAATGTGGCAAAGTAATTTATCATGCGTCTCCTTATGATATACTATTTGAGGATGCATTTGTTGTGTAATTATATGTCAAAATTAGATTATGTATTGTTTCGTTGGATAACTGTGCCGTTTGGCAAGTTTATCAATGTATTTTAATTTCTTTGTAGTGTCCACAACGCTTGTTCAGTGCATATATGCTATTTTAATTGAGATCTAAATTTTGAGAGTTTGATGTAGAAAGAATCAGATGAGTTCTACAGAATAAAGACTGGCTGGTACATGAGTTTTCAGCATATGTAAGTAGGTATGCTATCGTTCTTAAGATTGATGGAGGTGTCCAGGAAATGGATGGAAATGAACTTTCTTGTTTTCAAGTTTCAGAGGTAGCCCATAGGGGTTATTGTTAAACCTGTGTAATAGAAGTTGTAAATCAGGTTTCTTGCATTGTAAGATAAAAAGGCCTTCTACATACTGAGTATAGAGCAGGATGAGGTGCTGGAATTCTTTGATCACTTTTTTCCAATTTGCTTAAAACTAATTCGTATAAGATTCTCGACATAGGCTCCCCATTGAGACACCCTTACTCTGTATATATGTTCCATTATTAAGACATTCCAGCTATAGTGGGGTTTTCTTTATGTTAGTAACACTTAAATTGGAGCCAACTTTACATAAAAGCCTTTCCAGGATGCATCCTCCTTAGCAAATTACTCATGTGTTGTGTTTCTGTAACCAAATAAACCAAACCAATTCTAATAATTTTGCTATGAATGCAATATTTATGAGGACATACTTAACTACCAGAAAACCTGGACACCATGCCCCCTCCCCTGATTTCATCTACCTTTATTAATTCATAAACCCATTGCCCCCAACTACTTTTACTTATTCTGTTTAAAGATGTTCTATTGTTCAGCCAAATTTATATACATATAATAATTTTAAGATGTAAAATAGAACTTGAAGTCTTTTCATGTGCTGATGTTTATTTTTCTTATTTATTTTCATGGTGACATTGCTTCATTCAAAACTTCCTGTAGTTGTAGTCTATGTAAAGTGCACTTTATTCACATGTTGAGTCTTACTGTCAAATCGGCTTCTACTATTCTTATGCCACAACTTTCAAAAGTTTCCTTTACTTAGATGTTTTTTGCTGAGCTTTACTTTTTCAACCTCCTTTCACCAGTTTCTTTTTTACGGATTCACATAAAAGCAATTACTCTCGCATTTTTCCAAGATTTTTTTTATTTAAACAAGTCTTATATGAAATCTTTCAGACATTAAGGTTAACAACATTAATGGGGCTGTCAGAACCTATCCAATACAGATCACTTTTCAAATATGAATTATTACTGACCAGTATTAATCAATATGTGTTGATCATTTTCTCTCCCGGGAGGAGGAAAACTACTACTTTTAGTCAAATTAACTTCAACCTCTATCTGCAACAATCCCTTCTTCCTATCAGATCCAACGATATGGTGACATTCAAATAGGAAAATTACACAATACAAGTTTACCAGCCAGCACAAAATATGTTTTAAGTAGTTTTCAAGGGTGCTGAGTTTAAATATTCGGTTTTATATAAATTGGGTCTACTCGACCAGTGAAATTGTGCCATTTCATAGCATTCGAGTATTGCGATAAACAAGACAATGGTAGGCTGAAATAACCAAACTCTTTATATGGTTTTCATTTTAACCTATCCCATGTTGAAATTTTTCTCTGTTGCGTGTCGTGCCATGTTGAATTTTTGTCAGTGTTAAGCCTAACGAAAATTACATGTTTTTGAAAAAAATAATCATGGCTATTGCATTGTCCAAAATTATTTTTTATTTTGAACAAACAAAATAGATATAAATGCAAAAACAAAAAAAAATTATATTTTGGAAGTTAGTTTTAATATAAAAATTATAACAACTAATGACATCTAGTTTCAAAAATGTTTCAATGCTGAAACGAGATATCTCGGATCCACAGGTCAAGGTCATTATGTTGCGACCCAAGATACGTTAGGAATACCAGGGAATAGGTTAGTATTTGGGTACGTTCGTAAAGTTGGACGAGTTAAATGATAATAACGTCATTGTTATTCTTATTTCATTAGACTTTTCAAACAGTTCGTTCATAACTAAATGGCTGTTTCTAAAATCGAAGATATGAATGTTGTTAGTGCAGCCTTACCCAAAATATTTTTCATAGATTGCTTCGGGTGGACAGTTATTTCTATCATTCCTCCTTTTAATTCACAGTTTAAACACTCGAGTAGAATTAGAAACATCGATACTGTTGGGCGCCATTTTCTTAACAAAGTGAACTATCTCTTTCCTTCTTGAATTTCGTTAGAGTTTTGTTCGAAACGTCATCACTACAAGCATGAGCACTGAACAAGACTACTACTTTTTGAATGATTCGTTACTAACGCGTTTAACTCGTTCAACTTTACGAATGTACCCTTTGATATATTATAGTATTTGATTTATATAAGTACAAAGGTTATCTTACATAAAGATTTATCACACTGAGTGACCAATCTAACACATTCTAAAAATTCTTTATTTCTCTACTGTACACAATTTAAAGAATTTTTAAAGTGTGTTAGATATTTGCTTATTAATATTAAAAAATAATTAAATTTATTAATGCTTATATGTTACGAGATATTAAATGAATTTTTATTTTGCGTTTTCAGATTTTCTTGTAAATAGTGACAAATTTAAAGTTTAAATTTTCAATATTTCAGAGAATAACCAAGATGAAAAGAATAAGTTATCACAACAGAATCACTGCATACCTAATAATAACCAAAATGGAACTATAACGCCTTCAGGAATGCCAAATAATTCTGTTAGTCATACCGCGTGGCAGAGCTGTCGGAAGCTGATATATGTACAAAGATCGGCACAGAAGGGTTACTCTGTAGGATATTGGCCTATTCCGGAATCATTTTGGCCCGATATGAATAGTCCTGCATTAGTAAGTTATGCATATTTATTATTTATTGTGTATACTTTGTAGGATGAATCAAGTCCATGTGCATGGAAGTGTTTTTTGGAGTTTAATCCTCTCCCATTTGGGGAGAATTAAAAAACCAAATAAAATTAAAATTAAACATTACAGTTTATATGATTTATATTATTTTGTATCCCCTTACATTCTTCTTAGTTTACTGTACTGTATTTATCACTCTATATACCTATATTGTAAAATTAATGAACTAAATTATGAAAAATTAATGTTTTTTTAAACCCCTTTTATAAGTTTGCCATGTAAAAATCTATGGGCTGATTGCCATTTATAAGCTGGTCATGTGGTACGTGTCACTCAAGTTTACAATTGCTATCAATTTGCATTGATCTGTATGACAATTTTTTATTTTAGATTTAGATGGATTTTAAATCCTGCATTCATACTGTTGATGATGACAACCACAAATCATAAATGATAACAACAGTATGTCTTTCTAAAGGTTTTAAGTGATTTGCAATTTTCAACCTCAATTTTCTCCTTTAATTTTGAGTATTACAACTGGTGTGAACATTTTACAGACGAATGATAAAAATATCGGCTGTTTTCATCAGTGTGAACGCAACCTTAGTTTTCTATGCTGCGGAACTTAGTTTCATTTTCCTAGAAAATACCAAATAAATAATTAAATCACAAATCTACATCTAAAATTGCCATAGAAAGTTGCTTATTTGTTCATATGCTTTGAATTTAAAAAATAAGTTGAACAATTTTCCTCAAAACTACATTCTATGAAGGCAAGTCATATATTAATTGATGGATATTTCAGTTTTACCAATTATTTGATTTAATTTCTATTAATCTAGAATGTTTATCTTCGAATATTTTCACTCTAACAGATAAGAGATTAATAGTTAACTCAGTTTTGTCTACTTTTTCCAAATAATTTTTCATTTAATGCTTAGCAATCTGCTCAATTTATAATCTAAATGATTATAAATTGAGCGGTGCCCATATACAGTTAATTCTCATAAATTAGAATTTGAAAAAATAGAAATTTTGAAAGTTTTGTTTTATTTTATCAGAATCTGTATCCAATTTTAAGAGCTGATGTTAATTAAACTTAGATCAAAGTATTTCTACAAGTAATTATTCGATAATCTTAATTTAGCCGTCTTTTTTATTTTATTTATAATTACAAATTTGTCTGCAAAATCTATTATTTTATGTTGATGATTAGTTTCATATGAAAGAAATAAACAGATTTTAATCTAATTCTTTATTTGTATATAATTAAATACATCTTTATAATTTATCAAATTTCATAACGTAATTTCAATACATTTCTCATTTGATGCATTATTTTGAAAAATCTAATTTAAAATAATTTATTTATTTGATTTTTTTTTTAATATAGCCTCCAAGAAATGCACATCCAGTCGTAAAATTTACATGTACTAATAATGAACCAATGGTTATTGATAATTTACCATTCGATAAGTATGAATTAGAACCAAGCCCTTTAACGCAATACATTTTATCTCGTAAACAACCTACAGTCGCTTGGCAGGTAAGATACTAATAGTAAAAACTAATTTGAATTTTTTAATTTACAAATTGGAAATTCAATAATACAGTAGACATGCTTTATAGTGACTTTTAAGGGACCTCTCAAAACCAGATGTTATGTTGAATGGTTATATCAAATTTTCTCAATATTTTCCAATTTTGGTGGGAAGATGACATCATGCAATCTTGTGCCTACAGAAGAAAAACACTCTGAAACTTAAAATAACTATTTTTTAAGATTATATTGGGTCAATGCAAAAGTTTCTGGAATTTTCTATAGCTTTATAGTTCAACATTCATTTCAAAAACAAAAAATAGTTTATTCAAGAAAATAATTGCCATTACATTCAAACACTTTCCATTGATTGGATGGGTCACTGACTATATGAGATTAATTTTGAATATTCTACAGAGGTCTAGAAAATTCCAGAAACTTTTGCGTCAAGCCAATATTATTTAAAGTAATTTAAAAAATAATTTGAAGAAAAGTATTACAACACAGATTTTTAATAAATAAATGATTCAAATCAGAAAAATGAAATATCAATCAATCAACAGTCTGCAATTTGATATTTAAGAATCTGAAACTTTATAATGTTACGGATTCATAAATGTCTAAACTTTATTTATTTTTAAAATTAATACAAAATCATTACTTCAAGATAGTTTATCATTTAATTGAGCATTTAAACGAATTTCAGATTTATATATCAGTACAAAACAGATAGCTCTTAATCCAAATATAGTTTTCCACTCAAATATTTACTTTGAATTTATGATTTTAATTGTAATTCTAACATTCAAAAATTTTTAAATTTTATTTAATAAGTGTTAATGAAAATATAAATGTTTTAATTTGTTTTTATAAGGTAATATATCATGATTATTATGATAAGGTAATATATAATCACCTTATCAAGATTACAAAAGCTTAGGAAGACATCACACCAAAATTAATTTATAAAAAGAAAGAAGAAACTGTGTGAGGTTGCTTCAAACAACCATTTTTGAATTTCCAATTTGTTTGATCAATTTATTGAAAGTATTAGCCAATGTTTGTTATTTTTATACTTTGTAAGTTATAATTTATAATTAAAGGATTTAACATCTAAAGACAGTAATGTTCTTTCTTTGTTTTTAATAATTTTATTAAATTCTTAATGCAGATAATGTAATAGTTTAGCAAATTCATAGAATTCTAAATGGGTGTAAATTAAACTAACCAAATATTTATCCCTAAAATATGATAATATTTTCACCTTTAGTGATCATCTTCAGATTTGTAACGTTAATATTTTTATATTTTTATTAAATTTTAGGTATTCATTAGCAACAGTCATAAAAGCACTGAAATAGGACATACATTTGGTTATTTAAAAGCTAGTACCAGTCTGACTTGTGTTAATTTATTTGTGCTTCCTTACAATTATCCTATTCTTTTGCCACTTCTTGGTAAGTTTGTTTATTTTATATATTTCAATTAATATTATCAGGAAAGTATTTTATACGGTAGTTAATTAAAATAGAATAAAGTAAAATGCATTGCAACCCAGCAGATTAATTTTTGTAAGATGTAAAAACACAGTTGCTTAGCTTTTGGACTAACAGTTTGTGGATATCCAGTTCAACATTCTATCTGCTGAGTAAATCTGATTTAGCAACTGCTGAATGAATTTATTTATTAAAATAATTTTAATATATTTATTGGCCATGTCTTCAAGATCATGGTGGAAAGAGTCCATCCCTATCTTATACATCACTACAGTACATTTACACACACACACGCACACACATCATTAAATTGTGCATTTGNAAAAAGAAAGTATTAAGAAGGCAATGAGATATAAGAACAACTGTTTTTGACTTCATTATTACGGATACACTTAGGAGGAAGCATAATATTTTAATTGGTTGATTAATTAGCTGTTCCTGACAGAGAACTGATGCTGTTTAATAGCCATCTCCTCTGAAGCAGATGCTACTTGTGGACCACTTTTTGCATCACTTCTTTCCATAGATCATAGCGTAATCTTACATTCTCTTTGGTTCATTTGAACTACAGTGCATTTACACACACACACACGCACACACATCATTAAATTGTGCATTTGGTTATGTTTATTGGGTTTCATGAGGATGAAGATGATGATAGGGTGGAACAATCCCCAAAACATGATTAAAATACATTATAGTCAGACTCTAACTATGTCCTTCCATCTTAATTAGAAGTAGATGAAATTTGAGTTTTCAAGATTTAAGTACATGATACCAAGCAAATTAAAAAAATCTACCTTTCATTATTATATTTACGTTGATAAACAGCAGAAAATAAAATGTCTATTTCAACAAAATTTTACAATACATCATAATACATCATTTGGCTTAAGTTAATAAACTTCAAAAACATTTATCTGTTAAATAAATTATTAATTAGAGATTCAGACTATGTACAAAAAATTATTTAATTTTTGAGTCTATCAATTCATCCTTTTTCACACACCACAGAAGTAGCCTTTTACATCGGTTTTGAAGAAATCACTTCATAAAAAACGTATAACAATAGGTAAAAATTTACAATTAAAAACGATCAGACGTCAGCCTTTCATTTTAGGTATCTGACGCCTTTACATTAAAATTAAGTAAATCTTCTCACCAACTGCCAAGTTTTATACCTTCAGTATCAGGTTCAAGCCCTCTAGTGGTGGATACGAGCTATCTTTGATTTGCATGTAGTTACAATTTCATGATGAGCTCAGGATATTTTTCTTCTAATTATTAATTAGAGATTCAGACTATGTACAAAAAATTATTTAATTTTTGAGTCTATCAATTCATCCTTTTTCACACACCACAGAAGTAGCCTTTTACATCGGTTTGAAGAAATCACTTCATAAAAAACGTATAACAATAGGTAAAAATTTACAATTAAAAACGATCAGACGTCAGCCTTTCATTTTAGGTATCTGACGCCTTTACATTAAAATTAAGTAAATCTTCTCACCAACTGCCAAGTTTTATACCTTCAGTATCAGGTTCAAGCCCTCTAGTGGTGGATACGAGCTATCTTTGATTTGCATGTAGTTACAATTTCATGATGAACTCAGGATATTTTTCTTCTAATTATTAATTAGAGATTCAGACTATGTACAAAAAATTATTTAATTTTTGAGTCTATCAATTCATCCTTTTTCACACACCACAGAAGTAGCCTTTTACATTGGTTTTGAAGAAATCACTTCATAAACTGTTAAATAAAGAATTTCTATGTGTATAAATTGTTACATTAATAAATTGTCATTAAACTGTAAGAAGGAATTGGCAGAATAATGTATTTTGGTTTTCACTGAATGTAATAAATTTATTTTGCAAATTTTTCATTTTCGCATAAAAACAAGCTTAAAATATACTGAAAATTTTATAAAATAAAGATTTTTTATTGTTGTAAAGTTTTGGAAAAGTCGAAACTGTCATTTTCTAAAATAAATAAAAATAAAAAACAGTTTAAAAGTGTTAATAAAATTCTTTTCATTAATTTTATTGAAATGTTTATGTTTATAAATAATACATAATTGTTAAAATTTTATTTCAATAGATGAATTATTTAAAGTTCATCGATGTAAACCTACCCGAGAATGGAAAATTCAGTTTGACAATTATTTGAAAAATATGCCCCTTTACTATGCTGGTGTAAGTAGAAAACTAATAAATATTTAACTATTATTTAATAAAATAAATAATAATTAAATAATATACGAAGTATTAATTTTATTATGTAAGTAAATCCCTGCAACAGGACTAACTTTAATGGCAATAAACTTGCTATTATTATTAATAAATATTTAAATAATAATAATTTAAAGAATTTATTAAAACAATTATATGTCAGCTTTATAAATTTACATATTTATTTGATGATTTTTATAAATAAACACCGGATTAATTATTAATATGTAAATTATTATAATTTTATAATTTAGAGTTCACTAATATTAAGAATTCAACAGATTTTTAACTTTAAAGCTAATACCTATTTTGGATCAAAATAGCAAATTCTAAAATGTTAATTATATAAAATAAGATGTTTAAAACAATGACTTTTAGTTTCTAAGTAATATCATATTTTTCATCATAATCTTAGTAATTAAGTCCTTATTTCTTAATAATTGTTTTTATTTGTTATACATAAAATATTTTAAACATTTTAGCCATTGAAAAGAGCTTTACAACGAATGGGAGCACCAAATTTAGTACCTGACAGCATGGAGAATTGCTTAAGTTATAGTGTATTGAACTACCTCAAAAGATTAAAAAATCAAGTAAGTTTAATGAAAATTCAAATATACGCTATCATATTATAGGCTTAAATATAAAATATTCACATTTGAGTAACAGTTTTATTAGAAAATTTTACCAAATAAATTAAACTAACATCTATAGTTCCAAGTAATTATCTGTCGTATTTGATTACAATACATTTTTATTGCTTTTGAAGAAGAATTTTGATTGCATATCTTTAGTTATTCTTGAAACTTCTTAATTGATATGTTTAAGTTATGTCTATGGGATAAAATTTTTGCATATAATTTTTTTTTCTGTGTAGCAGTGAGGTGAAAATACTTTTGTGTGAATTTGTCATGTACTGTCTGTTTATGTTTCCAATTTTGAGGTTGTGCAGTAGGCATGGATGACATATTTATTCATGTTTTGTTTTTACTTCATCTGTTGACATGATTTTTTGACTTTGCTTAGTGGCCAGTGACTGAATTGCCACTAAAGCACTTTGCTTGGATTGGTATATGTTGCTTATTGTGTGTGAGTGAGATGGTGATTGTGTTTGTGATGCAGATTTTTCAAACATGAACCTCTGTCTAACCCATAAACTTGGACCACATTGAATGTTGTCCACCAGACAACATTTAAGCTGGTATTTTACTGAGAACATGTCACAACCAATCTTTTACCTCCATATAAGCAGGTATCTTTGCCTAAAACGAAGTGTTGATTAATTAGCTGTTCCTGACAGAGAACTGATGCTGTTTAATAGCCATCTCCTCTGAAGCAGATGCTACTTGTGGATCACTTTTTGCATCATTTCTTTCCATAGATCATAGCGTAATCTTACATTCTCTTTGGTTCATTTGAACTGTAAAGCAATGCCAAAAGGAACATTATTACTATTGAGCTCTTTCACAAAATGGTGATTAGTGAGAGAATTATTGTAGTAAAATTTTCTCATTATTGAATTTTATTTATTTTTTTTTTCTTAAAAGATTTTTTGTGATGGCATACAGATTATTATGAACGATGACACAATTTATCCATTCAGATTTTGAAGTTTGTATATTAGCTGAAAATTTATATTAGGATAAGCATTGTCTTGAATGAAGTAAATATTAGTTTGTTCTATTTTGTTTCAGTTGGAATTACATGTTTCATGTTTTTAGTCAAAAAGATCAGACAATGATGAGTGATAATGATTATTTTAAACTTGCATAACTAATCCTTTTTTTTTAATTGAAAATCATGGCTGATACCCATCTCAAATATTTTGCATATTTTGGGAAGACAGTTGAATATGTTAATAATGCATACTTTTTTATTCAAGAACAAAATAATAGAAAATTACTTTACAATAATTTGGATGAATGAATTTATTACCACTGCCAGGCCATGGAGCCTACTGGCAGTGGTAATAAAGGTTAGTTTTGTTAATTTTGAATGTTGCACTTTAACATCTTTAATATAGGTGATTGATTAAAAAAAAAGTTATTAAATGCAGTGCTTTATTAATATAGAACACAATAAACATGTTAATTAATTCAAATGACTTAAATTACAATTGAAATGCATATCATCGGAAAAGAATGTTTTTTAAACCTTACAACAAGTTGAAAGTGTAATACAGTAATAATAATAATAATTTGCAGTTCTTAAATTCCTAGTACTCTCACTGTTTACCTAAGATAGCTTTGATCAGTGGTAATTTGTGTTTCCATAAAAAAACTAACACACATGCATACCAAAGACAATCCATCATTTTGAAAATGTACACTAATTACCCCTTTACATTTTTTGGTTAATTTTGCTATATTAGATGGATGTACAGTACCATGACCAGCCAGAGACCTGCTGATATGCCCAGTCACAGATTACAACCATCTGTTTTAAGGGACTACTGGAAGCGTCCACTGGTCCTTCAGATAGGACCTTTGTCAGATCTGTGGCTAATGTACAGAATAACAACCATATAATTGATGATTGTGTAATGTCGATTGAATAAAATGGTGTGATATTTTACAATTGAATGAACAAATAGACATAAGAAGTTTTTTGCAAGTTGTTATAAACTTAAAATATTTATCTGAACATTTTGTTATTTTAGCAATATAATTTTAATAAGATCTAGAATATGGTTGGGCAGATGTATTAATGGAGGACCAAATAAAATATCTGTAAAGTATACATAAATCAAATTTTTTAATATTTCATGATTTAGTATTATTAAAATGTTGAATAATAAAAAAAATTACCATAGACAGCTTTGTTATTTATTATAATATTTATATGTACTCTTACATATAATTGATTTTTTTTAATAAAAATCAAAGCAACTATCGAGCTTACAGACATTTATATTTGTATGATATTCACAGCTTGTTTACAGTGAAAATTATCATTTTTATATTTGTAGTTTATGTGAAGTTGTTATAAATACAAGGCTGTGCACAGAGGATTTTGGATAGGTTTAACTGTCTTCATTTAGGAAGAATTAAAAAATTAAATAAAAAAAATAACACATTTATTTTGTACTTATCCAGTTTTTCTTTAGTTTACTGTAAGCTTTATATTAAATATAATATAATAATTTGTATTTTATCATATTATAATTGTAGGCAAAAGCAGAATTTGAAAAATTGATAAGTTCAGTTGGGACTGGAAAACCATTGACACCAGAAGGTATCCGTGTAAATCCTATTGGCAGATCAATGGGACCTGCAGTGAAATTATCAGAAATAAGTTTAACATCAAATCCGGCAATCGTCGAAAGATTTAGTAATTATAAATCTGAATTAAATGATTTCACTGGCTTTATGCTTGGAATTAAAGATAAGGAAATCAAGACGGAAAGCTATCGTAATCCATTTGACATTTCACGTCGCACGTTATTAGATCAGATAGCTCGAATGAGAGCAAATTATTTACAGTCTTCAGTTAATCATACTCGAATACAAGATGATGGTGAGTTTTAAAATCTTTTTTCTATGAAATTATTCAAATTAATAGTAATTTTTTTTCATTTTTATATATTTCTGCTAATTAAGTGTTAATGATAAAATTAAAGCTACTGCAAAAAGAAGTAATATTAAATATATTTTACATAGAACTTTTTAAACAGATACATACACTGACAGTATACAAACATGATAAAACAGTTGTTTTTAGCAGCTAAGTGAGAAGTCAGACATTAGCAACATAATAATACAACTTGTAGCTTTCTAAAAAGCCATTGATGATCCAATTGTAATTTCATAAATATTTTGTGGTGGTTACACCACAACAAAAAATTGTTTCAAAAACTTTTTCTTTTATTATAGTTCATTAAATTTTTTGCTGGTGATATTTCTTTTGAAGGTGGTGGTATAACATTTATGATCTTCAAAACAGGAGATTATACGGAGCCAAAAAATTATCATCTGATTATATGCCTCAAATCTGTGTATGAAATATTTACAAAACTTTTTAATTATTTGGAAACATAAAGAATATTTTCTTTAGGAGAAAAAAGAAAGTATTAAGAAGGCAATGAGATATAAGAACAACTGTTTTTGACTTCATTATTACGGATACACTTAGGAGGAAGCATAATATTTTAATTGCTTATATAAATTATAGAAAAGCTTTTAATTCTTTTTCTCATTCATGGTTATTTCATATGTTAAAAATATATTTTTTCATTTAATTAACTGTTTATAATACTTAATAAATTCTTGGAAAATTTCACTTGTTCTTTCTAACTGGAAGCAGAATTATGTAGTAAAAGACAAAGATTAATAGGGATATATTTCAGGGCAGTTTCCTATGATAGTTTTGAATATTTGTCTGACAATAAATTTTTATCAATTCTATTAAATTAATAATGTTGAAACCAAAAAATACTGGTTTCATCTTTGGGCAAAAACTACCCAATAATACAAATTTTTAAAAGTTATTATCTCTATATTATCAGATGATATATGTAGCATAAAATAAAATAAAATAATATATTTCTTATGCAATTTATGTTTATTTTGTATAGATCAGTTACATAGCTTACCAGTTAGTCAAATGGGTAACTATCAGGAATATTTAAAACGGATGCCGACGCCGCTTCGTGAGATTGAATCAACGCCAGTTCGACAGCACATGTTCGGAAATCCATTTAAGATAGAAAAGGTAAAATTTAAATTAAAAATATTAAGCATGTTTTATGAAATAATTACATTTAAGAAAATGTTTATTTATAATAATAATTATTTCAAAAACAAAGTGAAATATGTTTTATTTTAAAGCACCATTAAGAAATGCATACATACAGTATACTTTATCATACACTATATAATTTACCTGCTTACAATTTAATAATATCACACTTGCATCAAGAAATAAATTATATATTTCTTGATGCAAGTCTGTTAGAATATTGTATAATTAATAGCTTGTATTTTGTTCGAGTTTAATTATAATGATAAAACAAAATTTTACACGAGTTTAATAATAAAAAAAAATTGTAAATACCAGTTTTATTTGAATAATAACTGCTGCTAAGAATACTGGTTATTTATTTCATATATACTGTAATATGATTAGTTATTCAGAACAGTTCTTTGATCAAACATACCAGAAATAGAACTGTAAATTTCTTGTATTAGTAAGAGCTGTTGCAAACTACTGCTATGCAAGAGCAAAACACTAGCAAACGTATACTAGTACACCCAATGATGTCACAGGTCCCATCCCTTTCTTCACACCTGAGCAGTTATCCATTTGCTAGCACAGTGATGCAAGATATGCACACCATTGACAGAATTTAACAGATAGAGCNATGAAAATGAAAATTAATGAATACACTGTGTACAGTAATTTACCTGATAAGACAGACCTCAGAAAAATACTTTATGAGAGCTTTTATACTTTTATAAAGCTGTCTATAATGAAAATTAATTAACTAAGGATTTTTTCGCCCTGCCAAGATGTGGACCAGTTATCCGGAGTGCTAAGTTATCGAGGGACGAGTTTTCGAGGTTCTACTGTACCAGTTTTATTTGAATAATAACTGCTGCTAAGAATACTGGTTATTTATTTCATATATACTGTAATATGATTAGTTATTCAGAACAGTTCTTTGATCAAACATACCAGAAATAGAACTGTAAATTTCTTGTATTAGTAAGAGCTGTTGCAAACTACTGCTATGCAAGAGCAAAACACTAGCAAACGTATACTAGTACACCCAATGATGTCACAGGTCCCATCCCTTTCTTCACACCTGAGCAGTTATTCATTTGCTAGCACAGTGATGCAAGATATGCACACCATTGACAGAATTTAACAGATAGAGCAGTTGCACTAGCAAGGATGAGCGAGGAAAATTGCTCATAGCCTCAGGAAAGAAGGCGGGACATTGGAGCGTAACTGAGTGTGCACTAGCTCCTGCTTCCTGTAGTTTGCGGTGGCTCTTACAAGTACAACCAAACCTTACTTATACATTTCTCAATTGTATGTTTTTTGCAATTATATATTACTTTCTGCACAGTACTTTCTCTATTATAAAACACCAGTTATATATATTTTTTTATTTACACAATTTTACACTTATACATCGAATTTTTCAGTATTCTACATCACTTTTTTCTTACTTAAGCATTATTCACTTTAAAATGGAAAAATTTGAAGCGATTATTAAAAAATCTGAAAAAGCAACTTACGTATTCATTTTAACTTTGTCCATACTGACAGCAAATCTCCAACAAATTTAAAAAGCAGAGCAAATATGTAATATGTGATGCTGTTTCCAGTCAATTTTTTTATTTTTCAAATCTCTCCTTTAATTAATCCAACATGTTGAAAAGTTTGGCATTACACATTTTGTAATGTGTACTAATTTTGCTAAGCAAATAAAAATTTCTTTCTAGTTTCTTATTCATTTCCACTATTTTCTGCCAGTGTGAAGTAACTTTTTGAATGACTCTTCATTCTTTCACATGACTGGAGTTTTGACAAAAAGAGACAACTCTGATGTCACTAGTTTTGTATGTGACAAGATCATCAAAAAAACAAGAAACACAAAACTTTATCAATTTTTAATGTGCATGACTTAACTTTATACACTTTTTTTTTAATAAACACTGTACAGATTCAGTTGTATAGTGTTAATTTGTGTTGTGCTATATTTTGCATTGACTATAATCACTCTAAAAGCAATTGAAAAGTAGTTTCACTTATACATTTTTCTCATTTTCCTTGAAAAACATATAAATTACGTTTGACTGTATTGTGTAATGAAAAATCTAATTTAATAACAGCAATATTTATTTATAAAAAAAATTTGATTTTAAACATTACTAATTTATAATAATAAACTCTAGTTGAATCTGTTAATTTGAAGTTACTACATCTCGCATTTTGAAAATGAAAAGAGAAAGTAGCTAAAGGTCATCTGATTTATATCGTGTATGCATTTTGGGGATTTCCTGAAATGCATGAGTTTTACAGGCCATTTTGTAATCCCAAAATTGTCACATAATATATGTGGCATTTTCAGGACTACAAAATGTCAATTTTAATGACATTTGCACCTAGATAGCAAAGTTGTTTAGCTATACGGTGGTACCTCAGTATACGTCTGCTTTAGAATATGTCCAATTCGGAATATGTCCTGTTTGAACAAAACAAATTTTGCTCGGTATACGACTTAATTCAATTATACGCACCATCTATGAACAAGTAGCACTATTGGTGTATTAGACCAGACTAGACGTTCGCAGTGCCTTGGTTTATAACTTTGTTAAATTTCTTCTGATTTTAATTTGTAAGTAAAATTTTATTATTTTTATTAATCATGAATTGCAAAAAGGCAAATGAAAAGCAACAGAAAACTAAAAAAATGACTAGAATCACAATGGAACTGAAAAAAGAGATCATTGAGAAATATGAAGGTGGCATGCATATTTGAGATTTAACTGTTGCATACCATATTCCAAGAATGATGATATTCACAAGCGTGAAAAATAAAGACATTATTAAATTTGCTAACGTTGCAAAAGGGGTTAAATCAATTTCTAAACAGAGATCAAAGACATTAAATCATGTTGAGAAATTGCTTTTGCTTTGAATAACTGAAAAACAGTGTGCTGGCAACAGCGTATCAGAAGCAATTATTTGCGAGAAAGCTAAAAAGATACATGCTGATCTCATGAAAAATCAAGCAGGAACTAGCCAGGAAAGCAAGGTGTTTAAAGCCAGCCATTTTTTTTACATGAGAACAGATTAATCATTTTTACATTACTTCTTATGGGAAAGGTTGGTTTGGTATATGTCCTATTCTGTATAAGTCCAAACACCAGAAATGGATTAAGGTCATATACCGAGGTTTCACTGTATTTTTTTTTTTTATCTAAGTATGGAACATACACAAGTTTGTCTTTAGTTTAAAAAGTTGAAATGATCAAAGGAGTGGAAAGGAAAGTAGAGAAAAATATGATATCATTAAACAATACCGAATACTATCAAGCACTAGAAACCTGCAGAAAACTAATTTAACTTTCAAAAACAGATAATTCAATTGTACATTTCCAATACATGTTATATTTAATAAATTGATAAATGCATTTAATATCTTAAATATACTTTTATACAAATAAATAATAGCATTTTTAAGATCTTGCTGTATCTTTTGATTAAGATATTTTTAAAACAAAGGTTAAAATTTAATTTAATATAATAAATTTTATATAACAACAGAGGATGATGGTTGATGAAGCAGATATTGACCCAGTGGGCGGTGGTGGATCTCCAACTCGCGGCCAGAAAAGACCTGTAGATTCTCCTACTGGTTTTCCACGTTCCAAAAGAAAACCAGGACCTCTGCCACGTGAATTTAGACTTTGGAGGCCACACAGTCCTAGTCCGACTTCAAATATGAATTTGCAAAATTCTCTCTCTCCTCAACCGACATCAAATGGTCCCGAAGATATAGAATTATTATTTGAATCAAAAGGAAGAATGAATATACAATGTAAGTAGAGAGAATTTAACTTTTAGAATATTTCAACAAGATGATAAATTACAATTAAAAATTGCAATAAAAACTGTATTTAAAAATTATATATATAATATATATATATATATATGTATAAATTATATTAAAATCAACATTTAGCTCTTGACTTGTGACTATTTGAATGTGCAATGGAACATATTGAAAAGTTGGTTAGATTCCAATCAGTCATGCTAATTGAACAGAATACTAATTAAATGTTAAATGAAATACTGTAATAGATAAAATAAACACTTGTATACACTTACATAACAGTAATTCATATATATACAGTATATATATAGTTTATCTATTTTGATTAAAACTCATTTTAATCTTTTATTCCCAAAAAATAAATGCAAAACAAATTTTCTGTAGAGCTATTTGGTCAGGATTGTCATTCAAATTTCAATTTTATAATAAGATGAATGTGAACTGATAGTAAATTAAATAAATGAAAATTAATGATAAAAATAAAATAAATTTCACATGAAGATTCCAATACTCCCTCAGTATGATTTTTTATTCCTTTGACTATGTGGTTGTTTCTGTGAATCTGTGTTAATAAAACATCATGATTGATTGAGATGTTAAACATTAGTTTGAAGTGTAATATCCCCAAACAGCATCATTATATTAGATTATGATAGTTACATATGTATACTGATTATAATATATATATATTTACATATATATATATACAGTATGCATCAGTATATATTTACATATATATATACTGATGTAAAGCTGCACATAAACATACACGTATATGCTTATGTGCAGCTTTATAAACCATATCCCATTATTTTCAATATCTTTTTTTTTTTTTTTTTTTTGTTCAACTTGCAACAGATCTCTGAAAGGAACTGTCATAAGTCAGGGACTGACTACTTGTAATTTAGTTATAAATAAATTTGTCAAATTATTCATTATTACTAGTAAATTTACAAATAATTCAATGCTTTTTCTCTCCTATTTAGCAAACCAAACTAATGAAGGAAATGATTCCCCGTGGGATATTCATAATTCATCAAATAGAATATTACTCAATCATGTAAATTCAAGACCTACTTCCAATCACATAGATGGGTGGAATATAAATAATGATGTTACAAGTTTAGATTCTGACGATTTAGAACAAAATGAAAATTTCTTTAGAGACTGGTCCATGAGAGCTGAAATTGTTCGTATTAGAGCTGAAATATTTAAAGAAATTAGAAGGCCTGGAAGAAGTAAGTATTAATTTTTTTAAAAAGTTCTTTAATTCTAATAATTAAATTTTTATCATTATAATAACATATAATAGATTTGTATTACTGTTCTGCTCTTTTTATGGTTATTTTTACGTACACATGCACTGTAGGCTCTCAATAGCTCAAAGTGGAAGGAATGGGAAAAGTTTTCAAGTTAACGAAATTTCAAATTATGGAAATTACCATTTTAATGAGATGATAAATATCATTCAATAACAATATAGTTAGACTTAAAATTAATTATATTTTATTATTTTTTATATACATGTATATACAAAATAATATAAATGAATAGACATTGGCAGTCTTAGTGAAAAATGTCTGTTATATGAGTTTGTCATTGACGATTCATTTCTTCTTGCTCAACAATTTTTTTCAATACAATTGACAGCCTCAAAAATATCTTTGGTGAATGGTGTAGTTTCTAGAAAGCCTCTTAATAACTCCAGAGCTTTTCTGCCATTCCTACATTATGATATTTGTCTCTTTTTTGTCACTCGATGCTGTAATGAGAATATTCCAGTCTTCTTCAATATATTACGTGGATTCTAATGGAAATTTTGACTTATTTGAAGCATCAACAAATTGTTTATCCCATCTCAATAGTAGCAGACTTTCCATACTGACTTATTCTAAATTTTTGTGTAAAACAATTTCAATAGTGTTTTATGAAACTTCTAAGCTTTTGAGAACTTTTATTAATTATTGACATTGCATCTAACAGATTCATTCTAATTGTGCATGATTCATCTTTGATAACATGCAACATCTTCCATACAATAAGTTCTCTATATTGTAATTTAAAGTTTTGAATGATTTCCTGATATAAAGATTGCAATCTAAATATTGTATTCAGTGGTAAAAATTAAACTGCTAAACTATCTTTCAGAACTTTTTGACATTTGAACCTTTTTTGACCAAAAAGCAAGATATCTTTGTTTTCTTGTTTTACTAATACAGTAATAAATAAATCTGCTGAGCTATTATTGTTAATCCACACACCATTTTCATAGAAAAAATCTGCTTACACTGAGCAAACTTGCAACAACCTAAACTGTTATATAGGACAGTGGTTCTCAAAGTAAGGTCTGTACACCGCTGACAGTTTCGAGTGTGTGCCAGGTAGATAATTGAACTTCTTTCTATTTAGAGACCACTAAGAATTTCTGTTATCTGTAATAAGAGTGTATATACTTATCCCACAAATGTGGGCTGATAAATTTAACTGTGCTCTGTGATTGGCTTATAAATTTACGTCCTGTGTTATGTATAAAAATTTAAGTTAAATGTTATATTATGTTTATACTTATCAAGTGCAAAAATAAGATATATAAACAGTATAAAGTAACACAAACAGAAGTGTAAAGATAGATAGAAAATTAAAATGAGTTAGTATAAGTATAATATGGACTAGCAATTTTCTGGTATCATCAATGGCTGTTGAGGAAAGGAATGCAACAGTAGTTATACCATTGATGATAAACTGCTGCAATTTGAAATAGTGGCCATCAAATTTGACTAAAATATATTTAATAATTGTTAAAATGTCTGCCCATTCATCAGGTTGGAACACACAGCAGCCTACTACTAGTTGACACAAGGACAACCGGAACATGTAACACAATAGACAAAATGTTTGGTACCAGCTAAGCTAATAGAGCTGTTATCCTTACAAGAGAAAAACTAAGGGGAAGACATTTTAAAGTTATTGGAAATGTTCATTTTATTTTAGTAAAGTGAGTTTTTGCTGAATTTTAGTGGTTACTATTTCATTATGGAGACTTTAAAAAATTTCTTATATTATTATAAATAAAGTTCATTACATTGTCAGACTTCAAGGCATTATAGCAAAAAAGTATCTGAAGTGAATAAATAAGAGAAAGAGCAAAGAAAAGTCCATAATAAGGTATTCACAGATGGTTTAAGACTACATAAAAGTTACCAATGGCAATACAACATAATTCACTATTGCCAATCATCCCAAGAAACAAGCCCTAACAAAATGTGATTCTTATTTACTACTGGCAAAGGTCAGAAGAGAGATGTTAAATGAACCACATCTGCACAGAAAAAGGACAGTCATTCCAGTGGGAACCAACTCTTGTTACACTCAGAAAAGATAGGAAGAATTCAGTTGGTTTGCACATGTTCAAAGTGCAGAGGCAATAGATGATAGGGAGATGATGTCTATTGAATAGGAAATTGGAAATCTAGACTCACAGATTAGGAACAGAAAAGAAATAACAGGAGACAGAGCAAACTCGTCATCCACACCAATCATAATGTTGGTAGCACTCAGGGCTGTGGAGTCGGAGTCGGGGAAAAACATGTTGACTCCGGCATTTCAAATTTAATTTAGTTTTTTATTTAAATGAAAGAAAATTCATTTTATATTTAATAATTTTTAAAAATGTTTTTGTATTTTGTTATAATTCATTTATTTTATATACATAATGCAACAATTTAATTTATTAAATATGTAATTTTCTTTGTAGTATTTACGTTTAGTAGTTAAATTGTTTTGACTTAATTGAATTTGAATATTTTTGAATCATTCTTTATTATCCCTGCTCTAAATGAGTACTCTATTTTTCTGAATGAGCGAGACTAATTGATCAGAGTATATATTTTTCTTTTCTGAACAAGGAGCTGAAATGGCTAGATTGCACACTTTTTAGTTGGACAAACTTTTCTGGAAGGGTGAAATTGAAGTGCAAATGCTGTAGAATAAAGATATGCAGATGTTGAATTTTATCATCCCCCTTTCTTCTCTTATTAAATATTTGTTAAAAATTAATTTTTTTATACAAATAAATATTAATGTAAGTTAAATATTAAAAATACTAACTATAAAAGTATTTGGGTAAATGCACGGGGCTCCTTTCAGAGTTCAGAGTAGGGTATCTCCTTATGAGTGTCTCTGCCCTCTATAAAATGACTTGGTTTTTAATTCTGCCAGAGTCAGAGTCGGCCTACTAAAATTACCAGGAGTCGGAGTCGGGTGTTTTTTTTACTGACTCCGCAACCCTGGTAGCACTGCTGTCTGGCTGAGGTGAAATAAGTGGGAAGAGGTGTCCAAAGCAGACAACATAGCTGAAAATGCAACAGGAAAGCAGGAAGAGTAGAAAATGTGCAAGCATTCCCTCGGACTCCTTGCATGCCAAGACAAGAACTCTGCATCCTGCAATAGAGACAGTAACAGGGTTGATGACAGCCTAGCTAAAATTTCATTAGAGGGGAAGAGAAAGAACAAATAAAAATAAAAAAAAAAAGATAAAAGATAGAAGGGACAGAAAATGAGAAAGAAAGAAAGAATGCATCTGAATTTAAGATGTGCTTTTTCTCATTTTTTGTATTTATGACTTGATCTTGTATGGCCATCACAAATCCTTCCCTCTCTCCAGAGGCATTCCTGAGTCAGCCAGCTAAATTGACATTGGCAAATTTCATAGTTTGTTTGTCAGTGTGATTGTTAGGATGGCTATCTAGTGTGGAGTTTCTTTCAACCCAAAACTTATTTCGTGATGATGTATTATATTCAGGTCAATATTTTAATGATGCATTGTTTTTATCTGAAGGAGACTTACCCTCACAAAGTTTCTACTTGTTTGTAATGACTATTTATTATATCTTAAGGCCTTGTTCTCTCTATTTAGAAGGAAGTCGGCTTTTCTATGGATGATCTTATGACAGTGTTTGTTAATGAAATATAATGTTATTCATGTTTTACTTTGGAGTTGTTCTAGTTCTGTGTGTATCTAATGTATAACTAATGTACAACCCTCCTTACGATGAATTTCATTCATCAATAAATACTTAAAAATAATTGAACAGATGTTTATTTCTGTAATGAAAAATAATTTATTATAAAGATAAGTAATCATACAAACATATCAGAAGCTCAGATTTTGGGAAAATGTGTGTTGCTATTAAAATATATAATTTATAATCTGCAGAGCCTTTGCAACACGTTTCTTTGAACGTTATCGAATGTGTTAAGATTCTGTAATCGCCATGGAATAGCATCACCTTTTTGCTTTATAAAAGTTGCAAGGTATTAAGGCATGGAAGATGATAAACTTGTGCAGCAACTGCATTGGAATTTTTTCCCATTCTTTGCTTAAATATATAGACAATTGTTCTAACATGCAAGGAGAATATTGACTCATCTTTATTTTCAAACATTGCCATACATTTTCTATTGGAGGCAGGCCCAAGCTTTCTACTGGCCAGGCGAGTACACATATATGATTAGACTGCAGCCAGACTTTGGTTTTTGTAGTATTGTGTGGATGATGATGTCGTGCCAGAAAATACAGGCTCGTCTTTGGAATTGTTTACGTTTTGATTTGCGTAGATGTTGCTGAAGGATTAGAATATAGGATTCAGTATTCCTTTTGCAGTACATTAATTACTACAAAAAAAAACTGGACGTACTACTATAATTAACTCAAAATCACACCCAAATCGTTTGGTCATTTGTATTTTAATCACATTACATATTGCACATGCAAGTGTTGAATATATAAATTGGTTAATAACTTATTTAACATAAAATTAAAAATAAACACTGGTGATTTTGGTAGTTTCATTAATTATATTTGATATTATTTTTCGACTACACTCAAAAACTTTGGTAATCTTTAATTATGTCGGTCATAAAACACTATTGTAATAATGAATTCTTTCTGTCTAGATTTCGAAAAGTTGTTCCAGAGGTTACAAACATTTCAAGGGAACATGGCCACGAGAATATTTATGGTGAGAGAAGTGATACAAGAAGCGGGACGTTTTAAACGGAAAACGCTTATAAAACTCCTGGAAGATTATGAACAGAAACTGTTACAGGGAGAGAACGAAGAAGTGTTACACGTTCCAGTGTCGAATGTCCCCAGGTAGTCGAAAGGGAACGAGACGAAATCTCGGACTTCCATTTGCAGTACTTCCTACCACGCCAATTGCCGGATCGAACGATTATCACAAAGGTTTGGAGAAACGACACTGTGATACCAACCAGTATTTGTTTGGAAACAAGTACGATAAGAAGAATTGTTTTTTGTTAACCGAACATATCTTCGTCATCGTTTGTACCCATTGCGACGGGTGGACCAACATTCTTAGGATGAATCTTTGCAATACGGTTTGCAGTCGACGTCGCCCGATCCTCTCGTTCGGAACGGAGCGGAAAGAATCAGAATATCGGAACTCTGACATTCGAATGTATATAGGTTTCATTTGGACATCATCGACTTCAGAATTTTATCTCATTTCATTTCATAAGGTGCTCAGAAGTTTTAATGAATGATCATATCGGAGTCAATAAAAATGTACAGAAAAATATTTAAATGTTTAAATTTGGTTTCAAAGTGCAATTCATATACAGTATTGTATGTGCGATGCATCAGGACACTGTTTCGTGCCAAGACAAACCAATATACAGAATCTTTTACATTTATCGAGACATTTATGTAAAACAGAGCAATATTTTATTGTCCATCTTTCCAGCGAAACAATTTTATAGCTTCCAAACTGAATCGAAGGTAAAAAAAAAAGCACCGCTGATGAATGTGCTGATGTTACATACCGTCATTGTAAATATGAGTACAGATGTTTTTCGATAGAACAACTAGAAATAAATTTTGTTAAATATATTCTTGTTAATACTGTTTCCTTTATCGCCATTAGTAAATGTATAAAATATTTCGGAAAATATCCGTACACGACGTATAATTAATTATGCTAAGGTCTTCTGATCTGTGGCTCGTCTGTTAATATAAACAACTTAGGCATGCCTGTCACTGGCATTTTGCTTTCTTGGACTCATCTTGGAGGAGCAGAAGGTAGAAAGGACATTGTGCTGAAGTGCTCGTAAGTAATGAATTTACTTGTATGAAATTTATTTATTTATTTTTTTTTTACTTTGCCCACTACGTTTTATCATGAAGGATGCATTTTGTAGTGGAACAAAATAATTTTTTTTGTACATCACTCAATTCAGATATGGAAAAGCCAAATTTTTTTTTCAGCAGTAATAATTTACGTCATTGTTTGTAATAATTGAAACTCAAAATAGAAGAACTGCATATTTATTATATACTTAGGCATCTTAGGGCAGAACCGATAAATTCCTCCAACTACCCGAAGGTGGCATCACGTGATGCCCATGCCTCAGAAACCAAAACAAAGCAGCCGTGCGGCAAATTATAGCTGCAAAATGGCCAATCAAAATTCAAAACTGGCCAGTTTTCTGGTGCAGTATATCTTTTTTAAGCTCTTTTTGCTCTGTTAGCACTAGGAGAGCCTTTTTTAGCAAGTCCATTATGGGTTCAGCCAAGCCCACAATGAAGCAAGCAGGTGGTGAGGGAGGGGGCTCGACAAATCCAGATCAGCCATTCCCTGAAAAAATTCTCAGTATTCCTTCAATCTGGGTCCACCAGAGAAAATTTATAATTTAATTTACCCATTAAAAATGGAAATCATAAAAATTAAAGTATTTGGGACAAAAATAGGCTAAATCTATAATTGATTGTAGATTTAGCCTATTATTATTTATTAGGTATTTTGATTAATAAATAAAATAAACAAGTTACGATTGCGTAACCACAAAATGAAATATATTTTCATTTCTCATCAATAAGTGAAACACTAGAACAGTTGCAATTACACTTTCTTCTTTTTCATTTTAATTCTTCCAGACGGAATTACACGTTTCAATTTGGCCGCCTGCAATTTAACTTCTGCTCCCATTTCCATCCGGGGACGGTCTAGGATCCGAACAGAAATGTTCTTGGGCAATTCGTAAACTGGAAAAGTCAATTTGTCTCTTTCGGTCTCTAAAGATAGGAAATTCGGGCAATGGATTTCGCGACTTGCCGCCATTGGGGAAGAATATGGATGTTCACTTTCTTTCGGGACTTTCTGCAAACCATGCTCGTCTCGATCCTGGTCCTTGTCTTCGATTTCAACAACAGAATATTCGGTTGAATTCACCTGGAACGGGTCCAAAGGACTGGGAATGCTAGCTGCTTTCTCACAAATAATCTTCCACAGATTATGAAAAATGGACGTGGATTGTTCTGCAGGCCGCTGAAAATAAAAATAAATAAATAAATAAGAAGCAATGATAAAAGTAGAGTCGTTTTATGCTTACGCCATTGCAGAAAGAGGAGGTGTTAAAATTAAACCAATAGGAAGAATAGTAATGATTTCGTAAGCAAACACGAGACAACAGCGTCTTAATTATGGCCGTCAGCTTACCCGGAGAGTGAATCTCAATCACTTAGTCATAATTTGGGTACTAATAAATCCAATATCCCTAACTTTGATCTATTTTCATTTTGTCAATGGTTTATCACTGGCTTAATCAAAAATAGAAAAAGAAACTTCAGTTGATTTTCTCAACAGTCGTGTTATTTTGGTACCGACACGTGTATTTAATATGTTGTGCTGAGTGTAGCAAGGAAAAAACTTATGATGTCATACCGCAGCTTTGTGAGATTTGGGAAATTTTTTTTGGTAGAATTTAGCAAAAAGTCAAATTTAAAAAATTTTTTCTTCATTTCATCCATCTCCCATGGAATTAAACAACAAGAGACGATCAAATGTTATTTTAATGATCAACAAACATCTAGGGAAACTTGTGTTAGTAGGAGTTTTCAAAGCAACCATACCCCTTTCAACCTAAGAAAGTATTGGGGAGTAATCATAACTAACTGTCGATAGATGGGAATGTCGTCATTTAAACAATTACACAGTGAGAATCTATCAACAAAGAAAAGAAATAATAAATCGTCTGCCCATATTAGTCTAATTCTCACTGCCCTAGCCGACACATCTGGAGTGTCATCACTGCAAAACCTAAGGTCACCTGATCAAATTCCTACACCTGATGGGGATATAACGACCACACACCCGATCTTTGGTGGCAATCATCCACCCAAAAGTCTTCTCCACATCATAACCTATCACTCAGATCGTCTCCTTGTTCCCCGGATATTTGACATACCCAACTACTAGACCAACTGTAAAGAGGTACGATTGTTAATCACACTCTCTGTTTGTTAGTTTGTTAGTAGTTAGAAACGCAGACTTTATCCCTAGAACCTCACGATCAGGAAAAAGTTGTCTGTATATCAATTGTACCTAGACATATGTAATCATTTCTTTTTATATTAAATTTGTTGAGTTATAACAATGGTTGATCTATGTAGTGTATCGTCGGCACTTTATCTACGACCTCGCTAACCCTCCCACTCTTACTAACTAAAAGATACGCATTTAGCAGCAGATTCAATTAACGTAAGAATGTCATCCACTGACACCATGAGCTATCTTCACATGACCAATGTTGGAGAAAAGAGTTAAGCCTTACACCTCAACCCCTGGCTTCTTACAGTTTTATCTTTTCCTTGGTTCATCTTTACTAAATATAATAGATTCTTGTAGAATGAACTGCAACAGATGATAAAATGTTTCAAGATCAATCTCTGTTTGATAGCAATTTGCTATATTAGAAATGGGCAAGAACCACTTTTCCCGAATTCAAATATTAACCAGATCTCAAGTACTCCAAATACTTATTTGATTAAGTACAGATGAGTACAGTAATACCCTGAACTTACGCGATAGGTGGGACCGAGCAATAACCTCGTAAGTCGGGGTATAATTTCTCAATGTGTGTAAAATCCAAGTCGGATGTATGTAAGCTAATAAATGTTCTCGTTAATCTGATCTCGTCTTTTGATTCGTTCATTGTTACAAGAAATCACCACATATCTACAGAGGCTCGAGAGACTAACAAACACAGAAATAAATAACACAAAATAAATTGTAGCTATGTGTCAATTCCGCGTGACACATCCAAACATGTAAGTTGAACAATAGTGTGGAGGGAATGAGTAATCAAGAGTTGCGTAGTGCTCAAACAAAAGACGAATCGACGAGATTTGAAAATCGCGTAACTCCGGGTTCGCGTAAGTCGAGGTATCACTGTATATGCAAATCATTCTGATAATATACTGTAAACCAGCAGATGAGCCCAGCGTTGCTTGGACAAAAGGTAACTATAGCAAAGATTATTAGATTATAGACGATCTTACTCGTTTTCACAGAGTGAAAGAATTTGTGCCCCCTCTTCCGAGATTAATTAGAGAAGTTTTAGATATCTGCTTACCACACTGGGATGATGATAAATAAGACTCACTGCAACCACTAAGTGATAAATAATAAATGTTTTCGTAACTCTTTCTGGGTTCTTCTTCAGGTTTAATAACTTTGAAAAATAAGCTGGATCTTCTAGAATCATTTAAAAAATATAAATTCAAACATAAAATTGAACATTAAGACGAAGAGTTTGAATAAAACGAACTTATGCACATGTGCTCCCCATGTCAACTTTATATATGACGGAACACTAAATATTGTTGAGAATTTTTAGAAGGGTCTAAAAATATGTTCGATTTCTCGCATAAATACAAAAAAGGGATCTAAAATAGTACAGTAGAATTTCAACTTTCAATTCCTAACCATTTGGGCTCTGCACTTATTATTATTATCATTATAATATAATTGAGATGGGTTGATAATGATAAGATAAGCATATATATCAGCTTTGTGTTAGTGGAAGTGTAGTGACCAAGATGGACAGATACGCCAATGTTTCCAACTTTGATCATGGTTGTGCTGTTGATGCTGTGATGATGGGGCATCCATATCCACTCTCCAAGTAGTAGCAATTCTAGGATTTTCAAAGGCAACACTATCAAGGAAGTGCACTTGGTGCACTTCCTTGGTGTCAGTGCACCAAGGAAGGATGTATCAATGATTGGTAAACTAGCCTCAAGCTATTAATGACTATGGTGGGCATGGACTTTCCAGGATTGGGCAAAACAAACTATGGATAATGGCAGACTTTAATCTGGGACTGCCCATCACACTGTTTGTGTACAAAGAGTGCGGTGCGCATTACCTAAACTTGGCTATGGTACATGTCACCCTACTGGGGTTCCACTGTCGACTGCACATCATTTCTCGTTACTGTTGCCGAATAGAATAGAGTTGTATGATTTGATGAATTGCATTCCCAGTTTCGTTGAGCAGATAGATGGCTGTAGGTATGGTGTTGATAGCACAGATCCATTTTGTCAGGTTGGCACTTTTCGAGGAGATGGTGGTCTATAATGCTAAAGGAATCCTTCTCCTGGGACACATTAGGTCCTTTAATGCATCAACCGAGATCATTAACCACTGCACGCTACCAGATTTTGCTTGCTGACTATCTGCAACTGTTCGTTGCCTACATGTGTCCTGATGGAGACGGTATGTTTCAACAGGATTAAGCAGTAATCTTTACAGAAGCTTCGGAGTTGGAACACCGTGCACGCATAGATGCGTGCAACTTTTGTGAGGGGTATGCCGATGCTGTAAATTTTGCAATAATTGGCATTTCGGTGAATACCTCCTCCTCCCTTTGGTTGGTCGGCAATAAAAAGATTAAAGACAAATGAATTTTAAATGGAAGCTTATTCAAAATTCTCAACAATATTTGATATTTCTGCAACATACCAAAGCACATGCCGTGACAAACGAGTCTGTCACGGTGTGTGCCTTGGGTGTGTTGTGAAAATATCAAATATTGTTGAGAATTTTAGGGTTAGGATCTATATCAAACTCTACATACCGTATGGTATTTTTCATATCCTTAAAAACTTAATCGGATCCGCTTTTCTTCAATATTTCCTCGATCAATGACTGTTTCTATCTTTGTACGCAACTTTCTAATGCTAAAAATTCAATCAATTTGGTGATGTATTGTGAAGCTGTATAAGTAATCAACAGATACATTTGCAGGGTTAGAAAGAACATCCTTTTTTTGAACCACGATAATGTAAGATCACACTGAAATAGCAAAGATGTTTAGAAGTCTGATGTTACAGGTTATTTGCAACCTATTTACAGTCAGATCTGGAACCATTAGACATCTCTTAATTTTGGGTTAGGCCTGTTCATGTTGTCACTGGATGGCTTTGGTTTAGTTTAACAGGAAGATCGTTGAGATCTTCCGATTGTCTAGGATTTCTAACACCAGTTAGGATAGTAGTGGTTTGTGTCCTAACTCATGATTATACCAATTTATTGTTAAATAGGAGGACTATAGCTAAACGTCGAGTGGGGAGGTGCGATGAGTCCATCAATACGGTGATTGTACTCCGAAGTAAGGCCACACGAGACCCGTTTAACAAAACAACAAATTTAATATAAAATTAAATGATTACAAGCTTGAATAGGTTCTAGGGATAAAGGTGTTCCGATATACTTACAAACTAACAGTCTGAGAGAGAGTTTACATAAAATCGATTAATCATTCTACCTCTTTATCATCGTTCAGTAGTCGGGTGGCTAATGTCCGGGGGATGGGGAGACGATCTGGATGATAAGTCACAATGTAAAGGATACTTCTTGGTGAACGATTGCTCTGAAGATCGGGTGCATGACTGTTATATCCCCATCAGGTGTGGGAATTTGGTCAAGTGACCTTATGTTTTGTAGTGATGACACTCCAAATGTATCATCGCTTGGCCTGCTAGGATGGTGGGAATAAGACTAATCTGGGCAGATGGTTTACTATTTCTTTCAATTGTAGTTGTATTCTTATCGTGTAATTGTTTAAACATCGACGTTCCCATCTATCAGCAATTAGTTGTTAAAATTCTATCCCCAAAACTTTCCAGGCTGAAGAGGGGGCTTGAAGATCCCTAATAACAGATGGACATTGACCGTTAAACTAATTCTGTGAGAAACGGATGAAATAAAGAAAAGTTTCTTATACTTTGACTTTTTGCTAACATTCTACTGAAAAACAATTTCCTTAAACTCGCACTGGTTATATTATTCTATCTCTTAACAAACTAATTTTATAAAAAGGCCTTATTTATCAATCAACCATTATACAAATATATGCAAGTTTTCTCATATTATATAACAAATACTTAATATATCTTTGCAACTGATATACAGATTATTTAAATAAATGTATCAAAACACTTACCTTAATTCCAAGTGCCATTAATGAAGAAATATTCATTAATTTAGCCAATGCATTATTCAGTTCCTTCAGAGTAACTACGGGCACATTTCTTGTAGCACACAATGGTAATATGTGTTTCGTGAGGTGAGGAGGATTGGCACCACGAGCTATTGCGACGGCAGCCATCAAATCCTTTTCTAAAGCACGGGTTACGGCATTGATACCGAGTACGAGATCGTTTCTACAAATAGCAAGTAAAAAACAATTTAAGTATTTTGTCATTTACATTTTCTTCCTAAGCTTACAGATTAAGATAAATGTAACAAGGTCCATGCTCCCGAATTAGGCAGACAATTACATTCAATAAAACTGCCACAATTTTTACTGGCCATCAATGGTAAACACAAGATTGTTCCGAGTTTGGTTACTGCATCACAAATACAACTGTCACAGACAACACACCAACTCAGTCAAAGTGCTTCAATGGCAATTCAGTCACTGACCATCAAGGCTGAAAAGCCATAACAATGAATAAAGTTGGCAAAGAAAATGAATGAATTAATCACACATATCTATTATACTTTCATATAACTTGTCTATATGCAATCACAATAAATTCACACAAAAATATCCATATCTCACTGTTACAGAACAAGGATTTTTCATCAGAAAAGAACAATTACACAACAACACCCTTAGCCCACAAGAAACAGTCAAAGAACTTCTTAACATAGACGTACACAGAATGACACCTGTGGCCGTCGGCCATAATATTGTATATTTTGTATCTATTTTAGTTAGTCTTAGCCTTTTCTTTGTTCTTTTGTCTTCACTTTTTCTAGAATTTTCCTTTTCAGCTCTTTTTTCCCTTGGGTGGGATTACCGATTCCAAGAAATGAGTAACAGAACAAAAGAAGAACGCCCTGGGACCAAGAAAACAAGGGGAGAAGCAGTTTTGGGCTCGAATTCCAAAGAGTAAGGACGGAAAAGAGGTAGTGCTCCAGATCGAGTGTAAGACGATTGGAGACTATGAGGAGCCAAGGAGTCGATAGGAAGGAATTCCTATAAGAGAACTTTGAAGGAAGCTATTGAAAGAATTAAATGAAAGGTCTACAGGAAGAATGAGAAATAACATTCCAAGGAAAGCTCCAAAGTGGTGTCCCACCAAGATTACGAACTCAAGAGAATCCCGGGTATTTCCATCTTCCTCTACTCTCTTCTTCCTTCTTTAGTTGTAAGTAGTGCAAGTATTAGTTATAAGTTTCGCCCCACATATAGTTGTTGCACTCAATTAACCCGCTGTTTGTTAGATCAAATCTTAACATATGTGTACAGAAACCATTTGTAGTGTTGGGATCTAAAAGAAAAAAAGAACCTGTTCAAAGCGATAATAAATTACTTTGTATTAATTTGTACCATTCTGCTCGCGGGACCTTGTACTTGTCACAACAAACATCACACGCCTACCAATGAACATACAAAATTATAACCAATGAATTGTAAACACAAAATTAGAATAAATTTGAGAGTATTCTGATTAAGAAACACTCACTAAATATTGTAAATTGTACAAATAGGGGCAAAGCCAAAAGCACTTCATTCTAATAGATCCATTACATCTTCCACAAAAAATTACTTCAGAAGACTGATCTTATTTTTAAAAAATCCAGGATAAATGAAGAAAATGCCACATCATGCACAAAACTACTGAACGCATCATATTGGGTTGCAAACTTTTAACACAAACTGACCGATTTTGGTCACGTCAATGTAAGTAAGCAAAATAAATTCCCCTTTTTTACTCAACTCTTAAATTCTCTAATGTTTTCCAACAAATTTCCTGGTAATCTTTTACTATTTTAGTATCGTAAACCGGCAAAAAACAAAGTATTTTATCAGGTAAAAATAAATCATTTCACAAAATGTAACTCCCGATAAGGTGTCTTTGATATTTGAAATGCTATTCTGAACTAAAAACACACCTAAAAGACAGTAAACGAACGTACCTGTACTTCTTATTCAATTTGCCGTCTTCGTTTAATTCGGCATTTTTTAAAGTTTGTCTGGAAAACGGTTTTTTCTTCATTTTTAACATTGGATATTTTAATACGAGACTGAAAAAATAAACAATCAAACATTATATAATTTGTAAAATATTCCGTAAGACGCAACAAAGTGTTGTTATTCAAATCAAAATTAAAAATAGGTAATATAACCGTCCAAATTTCTACTTAAAAATATAAATTATCGATAAATGGAAATTGTCGTATACAATTAGACTCGAAGCACAGTTCGGGAATGGCGAGATTGAAAGACCTGTTAAATCCATGCTATTCTTTGTGTTTATTTATTGTTAACTTCTTGGTACTTTATAATTCCTTGAGTTTTGTGGTGTCATTTTATATATATTTCAAACACTATAAATATACAGTAAAATCTGTAAGAAATCTCCAAGACGAAACTCGTAAAAGAGAAAATTGAAGTTATCTCGGTATTACTGTCGGATTTTTCCTACAAAGTAAAATGTGGAAAATTCATACAAATGGAAATAAAAACACTGTTAAAAACAAGGAATGTCACATTAATGCATCGCAATTCCAGTCCTTTCTCTTTTTTTTTTTTTTCTTAGTATTATCGTTTTATTATTTATTACAGTAGAACACCGATTAGCCAAGGTAACGTGGACCGACGCTACCTCGGATAATTGAAAAGTAGGATAAAATGGATGGTCGCAGCTTACAGATATAAAAGATATTTATTATATATCACTTATAAGCCTTAAATTATAAAATTATTGTTCTTATATATATAATTAAATTTACCTTAATAAATTTAATTATATACGAGAACAATTATTTCATCATTTATTACACAGCCAATCCATATAATAGTTTTAAAAATAATAGCGTGTAGTATTGTCTTCGCATTTTAATATAAATGATGCGTCTCACATTGAAGTTAAATCATAAAAGGTAACATGAAATCATTTTGTCATACATGTTATCATTTTAAATTTTGTCTCGGATAATCAGGGTTATACTGTACTTATAATTAATACAAACTGCACAAACACTTTGCTCTTAATGCCAACGAAATAAAATATGTTAGATAAGCTAGAAAGCTTATCTAACATCACATATTCTGTAGTTATGTGACTATTTTCTCTTGACAATTGCAATGTCGTGGCTTGTGATGTCGCTTAACACGTAGTTACTAAAGAAACTAAGTGCATTTTATCAACTACTGCTCGCTAAAGTGTTTTGTTTACACAAGACAAAAATCAGCAACTATAACGCTTGCTTGCAAGCCTCTTGTGGCCACCTCTAGCCAAATAATTATAATAGTCTTTCGACTGGTTATCGCAGATGTAAAACTTTTTGACTCAAAATTTCAGCCTAGAGAACTCGTGATTAAAACAAGTGGCATAAATATTTCATTATGCATCTCTCTATCTCTCTTTAAATTGAGCACAAGTGTCTGACAATCGCTGCACGAGAAATCCAACATATTGGAACCGAGTCGTCGAAAGATATAATGTAGAATGACATCCAATCAACGACTACACGGCAAATGGTCAAATCTTCAGCAATTGTGTAAATTTAGTTCGACGTCACGCCTGATAAATTTGCCTCAATATCGACTAGTTTGTACTTAATCGTAGAAAAGAAAAACTGATAAAATTAAAATTAAAAAAGGATGCCGAGTATATTATATATGCGTTTTATTATTCGATCAAAATATATTTAATGTCGAAAGAGTGTTTTATCAATTATATTGACATTTTATGCCAGTTTTATATTTTTACCTCGTAATATAGGGTTAGCAACTAAGTGATTGCGGATTTTAAATACGAAGAAAAATTCAAAATTTTTGCTTAAAAATATAACTTTATTCAATTAGGTATTGTCCATTTTTGTCAGTGACCTCTTGCCATCTTTCAGGCAGTGCCATAATTCCATGTTCATAAAACTTCTGATTTTTGCCAGCAAAAAACTGAATTAAATGTGTTTTTACATCATGAGTGTCATTAAAAATTTTACCATTTAAGGAATTCTGCATGGAACGAAATAAATGGTAATCTGAAGGCGCAAGGTCAGGGCTATATGGTGGATGTGACAACACATCACAACCTAGCTCCGATAATTTTTGACGAGTGACCAAAGATGTGTGGGGCTTTGCACTATCATGCTGAAAAACAACACCCTTACGATTTGCCAATTCTGGCCGCTTTTCTTGAACTGCATCGCTTAGTTTGGCGAGTTGTTGAACATACACATTTGAATTAATCGTTTGGTTTCTTGGTAAAAGTTCAAAGTACAGAATTCCTTTATAATCCCACCAAACTGACAGCATAATCTTTTTTTGGTGAATCTCAGCTTTTGGTGTCATCTGGGCCAGTTCATCTCGCATCACCCATGATCTTTTCCGATTAATGTTGCTATAAACTATCCACTTTTTGTCACCAGTAATCAGTCGTTTCAGAAAGGGATCAATCTCGTTGCGTTAAATGAATTTCCTTAAGCTGATGAGGGACGCATAAATCCAGTTTCTTGACGTAGCCAAGCTGTTTTAATTTTTTTGAATGCATGTATGTGATACATTGAGCTTCTATGCAATCTCATGCGTTGTGCTATGACGATCTGAATCGATAATGGCCTTGATATGGGTCTCATCAACTTCAACTGGATGGCCAGATTGTTGAGCATTTTTCAGTGAAAAATCACCAGAACGAAATTTGGCAAACCAATTTTGACACTGCCTTTCTTTCAAGGCTTCATTCCCATATACGGCACATAACTTCTTGTGTGCTTGTGACACGTTCTTGCCTTTTCGGAAATAATACAAAAAAATTTGTCTGAAATGCACGTCTTGTTCTTCCATTTTTAAATTGGGATAAAAACGAAACTAAATAACTAATCGATACAATTTTTTTGCTAAATTAAAGGTGGAAGTCCAAACAACAAGAAAACAATATAGGTTAAATGCTTTGAACATGATGACAAAGCAAAAAAATGTGCTAAGGTCACCTATTGACAAAATCTGCAATCACTTAGTTGCCAACCGTATAAAATATATTTAAAATACAGATTCATGCGAAAATTTTATTTAGTTTTTAATCAAAAAATTCCATTCTTTCTAGGAAGAATCAAAATAAATAAAATTAAACTGATTTACCTTTCTAATTCTTTTATTATTACATCTTCATCTTCATTCTTGATACTGATACTGTTAAAATGATATTGATTTGCATTAATTTGTATAATCTTTCGACCAAATTTTGATTTGTATTTTAATAATGATCGTTTTATTTTTTAAAATAATTCTGTTAATGAAAATAAATTGTTATTTATAATGTTGTGTAACTATTAAAACAAATCCAGCAACAAGTTGTTTAACTTTCCTGGCAACATTTAAAACTGCATGTGGTACCATCTGTTATGACATTTTATTAAATTATTATAAAATAGCAAAAAGTTTAATTTTGAAGATAAGAATGAGTTTTATAAAAAATTGTAAATGCTAATGACGAGTAAAATCTTCATTAAGTCCGACCCCACTTGAGTTATGACACGTGACCACCCTCTTGACCTTTTGAAACCAAAATTTAATAGCACCGATGCCCCTTATACACAAGCTACCGTGACAAATTCCATTACTTAATCTTTACCCTATCCCGAGATATTAAATGAAATAGATGCCGACACATACACCCAGAGAATTTTTCCTTTCTTTTCGACTTTTCCGAGTTCAGGGGTTTCAAAACACGGAGATTTGCGAAAAAAATCAGACACGATTCCGATACTTTCCCTCGTTATGCATACATAACAGCCGGGAAAATAAAAATACGTTCTCCCATACTATTAATTATTAAAATTAGCGGAGTTATAGTTATAGTTTAGGCGATCGTTTGGTGATGTTTTTATATACATATTGGGCTTTACAATGTTTGTTATAGCCATATTTTCTTCCTTGAAACCAGTAGAATTCAATGAGAAATAACAACGATATTTCTAAAACTTGACAATAATCAGAACAATCGGAAACACCTTGTGTGATCCTACACAGAAATCAGTCAAAATGATAATGGTTTATTAAATTTCTTGGATTGTATTTTACCGAACAACTGAAGTATTTTAAAACTAAATATAAGTGGCTTATTATTGCTAGTGATGAAAATGTAAGTTGTCTGTAGTGTTCGAAAGTAGAATCGTTAAAGATTGAAAGTGCTACCTACATCCATACATTTTTTTCTATTGGTATGACTAATGAAAATTCCTTAAATTAAACTCGATGCTATTTTTATTATTAATTTCTGCCGAAGCTAAGCAACTTTTGCATGTATTTATGCTAAATATTTAATGGTAAATGACTTTTATAAACTCTTTTTCTCCCCTTATATATGGCTTAAATAAAAGTGTGCATTCTAATTATCCTTTTTTAAATGAGAATACCATAAAAACATTTTGGGGTCGCGTGCCAAATGTGCAGTATGGCTTAAATACACTAGATCAGTGGTTCCCAAGGTGTGCGCCATGGCATCCTAGGGAGCCACGGCTTTCTCACAAGGGCGCCACAAAATATTATAAAATTTTCATAATTTCACTTCCACTTAATGTCAAAGTAAAATTTTGAAATTTAATGTGATAAGATGCGATATCTAGCAGACCTGGTGCAATTCATTAACTCGGTAATAAAGATGGCACGTAGAATCATAAAATGTAAAAAGCTTCATACCATCGCAGAAAAATTCATTCTATTGACTGCTGTAGATATGGTGAACATTATGATTGGTGGGTCGGCAAAAGTGCCTTTGTCCAATAACACCATCAGTCACAGAATACAGCACATAGCAAAGGACCTCCAATGTTCAGTTAACTGAAAAAATAAAAGGGAAGGAATTTGGGTTGCAGCTGGATGAGGGCACAGATAATAATAATGATGCTCACTTGATTTTCTATGAACAGTTTATACAGAAGGCTTTCTATTTTGTAAAAGTATTGCTGCTGATACTAAGGCTCACGACTTGTTTGAGATCCTTGATATTTTTATATATGATAATAATTTGGAGAAGACCAAATGCATTGGTATCTGTACTAATGGTACTCATTTTATGTTCGGGTTTATGCAGGATTGCAGTGCATTTTTTTAAGCAAAGACACTGATGCACTGTAAACCCATTGCATTATTCACAGGGAAACACTGTCATCAAAATATCTGAGTCCTACATTGAACCAGGCCTTAGAATATGTAGTAAATGTAGTAAACTTTATAAAACCTCAGCTATTGAAGGCAAGATTTTTCACAAAACTATGTGAGGATATGGGATCTGAGCACATGTCTTTATTGTACTACAGCACTTTGAGAAAGTACAAAACATTACCACGAGAGAGCGATACCTCTCGTGGTAATGTTTGCCTTGTCTTGTATGTTTGAACTGCGACAGAAAATTTATATTTTTTCTTAAAGAGGAAGACCACAAGTATGCCGAAAATTTTGTAAATGAAGATTTTTTGGTAAAACTAGCATACTTATGTGATACTTTTTGAAAAGCTGGATGATCTAATATCTTCCTGCAGGGAAGCAGCATGCAAAATTTAAAATCGATTGAGAAATTTCAGCTTTTGTAAATAAATTAAAACTATGGAAAAGAAAAATAAATGAAGACAGAGGAAAAGAAATGTTTCCCTTTGTTGCAACAGTTTTTGACCTCCAACGGAGTTGATTTTTGAAGAATATTTATCACAGCTTATCACCTGGTTTAAGAAATATTTTCGAAATGATAATATTGATAAATTTGCATGGATTTACGATCCATTTAATGCCAGTGCTCCATTTGAATTTCTGCAGCAGACGAAGAGAACCTTATTGAGTTTTCTTGTGACAATACATTGAAAACAAAATTTAGCAGCATGGAATTAACTGAATTTTGGATATCGGCAAAAGATGAATAGCCCTTCTGAGTGGTAAAGCTCAGAGAATCTTAATTCTATTTGCGACTTCTTATTTGTGCGAAGCCAAGTTTGTCGCTGTGATAAACACTAAGCATTACAAGAAAATCAATGTGGAGAAGAGAATGAAGTTGGCTGTGTCCAGTTTGATTCCCAGATTTGAGAAAATGTGTGATGATCAACAAGCTCATCTATCCTACTAATTATAATTAATTGAATTTGTTCAATTACATTTTTTTGTTATGTTAAATATGTGTTTTATTTATTTTTTACTTAACGTTCTAACTCTTTAATTTAAAAAAATATTAGCTATTTCGCTATTTCACAAATTGTACTCGTTAGAATTTGACATAAGGCCGGGAAAATCTGGATTTAGCAAGAACGCCGAGAGACAAAAGTTTGGAAACCACTACAATTAGATACTTTTTCCTAAATACTCTATGCTAAAATGGGGTGCATCTGATATGTTGTAAAATACAGTAATTGATATTTAAAATTAAATAGACACATGAAAACGAAGCAGAAAGTAATGTAAAAACAAAAACATACAATATTCTTTTTTAAAGTTAATAGAAATAAACTAGGACATTCCACAACTTTTTATATCATGATATTGAATAGAACTGAGGTAGAGTTGAAAGAGATCCTTACGCTCGCTCGTCGCGGATTGGCGATCCTCGTAATTGCCTCCACAGACAGACGATCCTCGCACTCGCCGCTACGGGGGAGGCGATTCAAAAACAAAGTAATTTATACCAATTGCTTTGTTCTTGGATCATCAATTACTTATTAGGAGAGTGCAATGCTGTTCTTTTTTGCCCCCTAAATTCTGTTACGTGCACTGAATCACATCAGGTAGCATGGACATTGGACTCCTATTTTTTATTACATTTTTGGATCCCTCATCACAATTAATGGGAAATGTGTTTGTTGTTCAATAATATAAATGAAATACAGTAGAACCTCGATTATCCGGACTAATTGGGGATGAAGGTAGTCCGGATAAGGAAAAATCCGGATAATCGAAACAAATACTTTAATTTGTCTTTTAATGATAATACAACACGTTTTCTTTTCGATGACATATCGGTAATATTAAAAGTAAATACTGTATTTAAATCGTGAT